TATATATATATATATATATATATATATATATACATACATACATACATACAGTATATCCCTCTCTCTCCTCTACATGTCAACATTCATGACACCATCGATGTCAATTAATTCATATTCAACCTATAAAACAGCTTTACATCCAACCCGAAGCCTTATTTTTAGTATTTTTTATACGATTATTCACAAACTAAAATGAATAAAATGTTTCATTGCGAGGGAATGTCTAAGTGGGTGTTCGCCACTCACAGTTCCTCATTATTGAGGACGTTGAGCAGCTCTTGCACCAGTCCATCGCAGGACAGGGACTGGTCGCTGACGACGCTGGTGAAGTGGCTTTTGCCTCGCAGCAGTTTCCTCCACGGAGCGTCCAGCAGCGAGTTACTCAAGCCATAGATTCCTGTTGAGGAGCGTTTGAAGAACACAGACACAGACACACACTCATGAGTTCTGTCAGGGAGACCTTGTGGCAGACGATACATTAATAGACACTGAGAGCGAGATCAACATGGACACATGAACGTGGCCATAGGCCGAGAGCACAGTTTCTACATCGACCATAGTAAAAACACAGACCTGGTTTTAGATGGATGGGTTCAGGGCTGCCTCTGTTTCCATAGTAACACATACTGTCTTGTTTGGCTCTACATGGGACACAGTAAGATGGAAAAGTACAGATTGCATGATTCTTTGTCATTTACAGCAACGATGATGTTCAAAGGAGTACTCCTGAGGGGATCCTGTAAAATGAGAGACGATGAACAGTGCACCTCCAACTTTCTTTGCAGTCCTGGAAAACAGGAATTAAGAAGCCCGTTTCATTTGTAGAGGCGATTCAAATGGGGAAATACGTAACAGCGAAGTCAATTGCAGCATTAAAACCCTCCTAAAAGGAACAACTGGGTAAAAAGAATGCTTCAAAATACAAATTAGCGCTGCAAACAACTACGAGTAGCACAAAACCATTTAGTTGTGGTGTTAGATCTCTTTGCTAAGTCCTCAGTTAGAGGGGATTTATTCAGTCGGAAAAATCTGTCTGACATCAAGGGCATCTGTGACGGCTTTGGTACAGGAGAGTGAATAATAAATTATGACCAAATCCTTTGAACCAGCAGCGGAATTCATTTTTGATGTCAGTTTTATGACAGCCATACCAGTGGCATTAGTCAATCTGAAATGTGGCGCAACACCGTTTCAACATCGAACTTGGAAACTTTCCCGGTGAAGAGCTGCTAGGACCGGAGCAGCATGTGCTGCTGGGATCAAACTTTATTAGTTTTAAAAGTCAAAATACAGATCGGCCTTTGGTCTCTACTATACATCAACAGTAGCAGAACATGTTTACCATAAAACCCATCGACAATGATTGTATGTCTGATGTTTGGAGATGACGCACTTATTCAATTAATTGATACGTTTATTGACAGAATCAACGCAGCAATATGATTGACTTTTCAAGCTAAAAAGGCCAATCGGCTGATTGTTCCAGCTTCTCAAATGTGACCATTTGCAGCTTTCCTTTGCTTTATATCACTGTAGATTGAATATCTTTGGGTTTTGAACTGTTGGTCAGACAAAAAGAAGCTATTTCAAGATGTCAACCTTGTGGAATTATGATAGGCATTTCATCGTGTTACTATTTTCTGAGGTTTTATAGACACACAATTGGTCAATTATCCTTGGAGCCAAAGATTTGAACCGATCTTTTAGAAAATTGCTTCAACCCAGACGACTACAGAATATGAAGGAATACATATGAAAAACATGAACTTCACCTACAAAGTGGCTTTAGTGTTTCAAGAAGCTATTTGAGATGTATTTATTTGGTTGAAATTATTACGCACACAAAACATGTACCACTTAATGTAAAGGAAGATTCCCGTATGTTTTGTTCTTTTGCTTATCAAAATGAGACTACTGAGGAATGCCTCTCGTTGTCCTCGGCCGAAGGAAGAAGTGAGGATCGTTATCTGAGACAACACAACAAATGATTAGTGCTGAACTCTGCTTGTCTACAAACAGAGGTTGTCCTTTAGTGTTTGCGCAAGCACTCCTCTGTCCAGTGTAAATGTCCCGGAGTCTTTCATATTGATTCTAAGTTTTAGGCAAACGCAGTTGACCAGTCTGAATAAACAACTGCTTTTCCTGTGTTCCTATGGTGACTGTGAAACACAGCAACACTGGCCAATGTTGACTCGGGTGACAGCAGTCACCCCTCATACATGCATGTACACAGTTGCTGCCCAGTGGGAACCAGATGGTGCTGTAACCTGAAGGAAAACTGTAGAGTCTAAAGCTTTTAACCCATTGTTATTTTTCTTCTGTGGGCAAACAAATGTCTGGAACACTAGCTTGAGTTTACTGAATACTGAACTCAACGACACCTTAAAAGCACGGTGTTTATGTCCACACTTTGCCCATGGTGGTAGCAAGTGGAGGATTTGCAGGGAGATAGCTCCATTTCTGCTATTTGATACTGGTTCGGATATAGAAAGTCACATCAGGTGTGCTGTGGGTTGATTTGGGCTGAGATGAGGGAACAGCAGGAGGTCAAGGCCACTGGGCAGAGAGAGGACGTGTGCGGGGGGGGGGGGGGGGTCAGGCTTTTTCAGATCTCTCGGTAAGAGAGGTAATCAGTATGCTGGCTGGGAGACGATCTAATGAAGAGTCCTCTATACTGAGGCTTCGGAGCAGTTTCCCCATCGCCAGCTGTGGTGGAGTTGCCTGGAGATGGTTGGATGAGCTTTCGACATGATCAGTTCAGAATGTAGATGGGCATGTTGGTGGGGGCTCCTGGGTAATGGCAGCATGTACTCCCATATCCAAACACACATGTGTGTGTGTATACCCACACGTGCAGAGACTAAAGACATGGAAATGGTGTTGGGTGCATTTTGAGCCATTCTCAGTCCGTCCACCTTTAAGTAAAATATCTGGAAAGCTATTGGATGGGTAACCATAAGATTTGGTTCAGACATCCATAGTGCCCAGAGGATGAATGACTTTGGAGATTCCCTGACTTCTCCTTTAGCACATTCACACAACTGACATTTGTAGATATAAGTAAAATGGCTCCACAACTATTGGATGGATTGCCATGAAATTTAGTATTGCTATTGACGTCCCCCTCAGGATTAATTTCAATACCTTTGGTGATGCAGTGACTTTTCATCTAGCTCTTTCATCAGATTAAAACTTTCACTTTGTCCAATACTTTGGTTTATGGCTAAATGCTTTCAAACTAAGATGTTTAGCATTATACCTGCTATGTTACACACATGTTACACACATGTCGTTGTGAGGGAGTTAGCATGCTGGTGTTAGCATTTAGCTCAAAACACCACAGAGATGCTAACAAGGCTGCTGACTCTGAGCCTTGTCACGTTAAGATACAAATTAAAAATGATAAACTCAATTAAAACTATTCATTTAAAATTAAATATATCATTTAAATTATACTGACTTTTCAAGCAGTACCCCATTTCATCAGCTACTGTTTGTGACCTTAAGGTGACAGCAGACTTGATAAATACAACAGAATACCATAATATTTGTTAATGAAATCTTATCACACATGACCTAGAAAAGTTAGCCTTCATAGGATCAGACAGACTTTCATGGGAAGATAACTGCATGAAGATGTAGTGGCATTCAGATCTGGTCCTGATGTTAAATATCTCCCCACACAAACAATTATAAGGCCAAAAGTAACATTATTTCGATTGTTGTGGCACTTTTTGGACATCTGGATTCACTCTATGAACAAGGCAGGCTATTTGAGCATCTACTGCTAATTCTATTCAGTACTAAATCATGTTCTATTATACTCAAAGAGATTAGTATTTCCCAATAAGTCATTTTAATAGTGGAAAAACAAATCTTCATAGCTCTTTAAAATGCTGAGAGTTCATCCACCCCACATACTCTGGAATGAGCATATCTGATGCTCCACTGTTTGTCTTGTTCAGTTCAAACAAGTTTCTGCCAAGAATTACAACACAGAGATATTCAATGAAATGAATAATATCTGGGCATTGACTTCAGCCTTGAGAGTATAAAGCAAAGAAGATCCCTAAAACTAAAATGTACATGTAATAGCTACACAGAGAGAAGGTTAGGACCAAATCAACCACATAGATTATTAACCAAGGCTATAATGGATTAACAAGCATCACAATTAAAAAGGAGAAACACTTAAATCATGGCCAGACTGAAATATTTATATGCCTCTCTGGGTTGTGTATTAAGTGAACACCCTTTCTCCTCATTGCATCTCAATGAGCGTGATCACACACTCTGAAAAATACAGAGTGAATACAGACAATGCTTTAAAATGGTGCCTGCCCCCCCCCCCCCCCAAAATCATGAATCATGTGCTGGTTCAAGATGAATGACAAATCCTCTAATGGTAATATAGTGCTACTCTCTATCCACCAGATGTTGTTATTGATTCGGAAAGAAACCAGATGCCTTGCTTTCATGCGAGTTGCCGGGCTCACTACAGTGGAAAACAAATAGGCTGGTAATAACGCTGTGTATTAGGAAGAGTGTCATCTCTGTCTGCAGTGAAAGCAGCGCCCGTCAAATGGGTATTTGAGGAGCGAAAAACACGGTACATACACAGCACGAGGCTCTGGTTTGACAGCTGCAGTCAAAGTGGAAGACATAAGGTATTATCAGGACATAAACGTTTCCTGGTGTCTCATGAGCGTCGGGTGGCACAATATTCTTTCATTTAAGAGGAATGCCACTGGGGCAGTGCAGGTGTAACGACAGCTCCCGGTTTTAACAAGGATATTTCAACGTCTTGTCAAAGACCAGCAGAGCAATCTAACTGCCGTTTAGTCCCATGTGAAAAGAGGAAAAAAAAGTCGTTCTCAAAGGCTGAAATAATAATAATGAGGCTGCAAATTGCTGATACTTTGTGATGTGTTTTTAAGTTTCTCTACATGGAATTCAGAGCATATCTTTTGCCTCCATAAAGGTTCTCAACAAGCGCTAACAGCGCATACAACGGCAACAGTGCTGACAGAGCCAATACACATACATACATACACGCATACATACATACATACATACAGGGGCACTCAACATGTTAAGGGTTCGGAGGGTGCTATCTTTTTTTGGCGTTTCAGAAACCAAAAATACAAGAGCAAAATAGTAAGGAGTGGACAATCTGATCTCACGTTCTCCTCATCATAGTAGGACAAACTAAGTCTACACTGCAATACAATAACAATGCTGATTCTTCATTTCTTCCACTTTTCTCTGACTTTTTGTCCGGGATGTGTAGCTTTAGCTTCAGTCTTTTAAAATGCATGTGTGTAGACAATCAAGTCCAGAACTAAGACCTCATGGTTCTCTTCTTACAACAAGTCAGTTATAAAGATTACAAGTCAGCCAGAGAGAGATTTCAACCATTAGCTCAACTATTTACTCAGCTACGGATGATTCAATCTGCCAGCGACAATCGTCATTTCTGTCACCTGTGAAAATCAAGGACCAATTGTTTCGATAAATGGAGGTAGGTGGCAATGACTAGCTGACATCATAGATTTGATTAAGTGTCTCATACAACAGAAAACCAATGTGTTCTGTCTAACCCTAAAACCAAGACTAACAAATGTGGAAGAAGGGCTGAACCAGCAGAAGAAAAGCCGCCTTGAGATGAGATCCTCCTTGTGGCCATGTTACCAGGATCCACAGATCATGAGACCAAACTCCTTTGTGGAAACCCTGATTTGTTTTTTCTTCTCACCCCCACTAGGGATACAGTGAGATAGGGGCATGTGTTGGAGCTGAATCATCAACCTCTTGCTGGCAGAAACTGAGACTTGTTTCCGTGCCAATTGTCTACAGGAGCCTCCTCCATGACAACTATCTGGGTGTGCACTAATCCCACTTTGATTTTCTCTCCTTTACCAGACCACCAAATTCAGTCAAGTCAAGAAAAGAAAAAAACCCTCATTATTTTTAATGCCGTCTAGATTTTCTTCATCTGAAACCCTGAAATATGAACCAGTTTTTTCTTTAGAAATTGAATGCTGGCTCTTTCACAGCTCAGCAGCTGAGGGTTTTCTTTCAGTTTTGCCTGCTTGGCACGCAAGAGATGAAAAAGCAGCCTTTCCGGTTTATTCCAAGGTAAGGCCAGAAGTCGGAGGAACTGATCTCAGTACTAAAGAGTCTCATGATGTTGACACATCTCTGACTCCGCCCCATCAGTTGATGGACCACACCTTTCACTCACTTGAACTCCGCTGTGAGGAGGTTGAAGCCATTGTACAAGTGGCTTTCCGCCGACACCTTCTTCAGGTAAGAGTAGCTGTCCACATCTTTGTCCGTCAGGTAGTTACACACAAGAAATCCTGCGGAGCAACAAAGGTAAAAAAACAAATAGTTCTTAAATGATGCACTCGATGAAACCAGCCTAATCTGAAGTGTAAGCAACATGCAGGATACTTCACAGGAGACTGTGGATGTGTGATGTAACAATAGGCATTTGACGAGCGGCGTGGCTGGCTCACCTCTTCCTTGTGCATCGGGATTGGGACGCCCTTCCATGTAGTTGGTGATTACGGCCAGCTTGCCCCTCTTGCTGATCCCCAGCCATGACCCGCCTTCCTTCCCACATTCAAGGTCCAGGCCTGGTAAACACAAACGCAGCTCCAATGTTCACCAGACTTCCATCTGGATGTAAAATACACTGCACGCTTTTAGTAGCCATTCAAAGTACACTCAATTGACTGTCTTGATATATAAAAAAAAGACACAAATTAGAGACAGTTTACACGGAGTACATCCTTTAATATGTCTTTTGATTGGACTACCCTCATGTCTAGCTTTAGCAGTAATTAAATAAACTCAGTCCGTTGTTTTCTTTCCACATTCCACCTCTTCAAATGACATGGAAGAAGGTGGACGGCATGTGCGCCGCACTTCCCGGTGATCAATAAAGACGGGTCCCACTTCCACTGAGAGAGCCGAATGGTCTCGCTCCTCTGGGGAGTGAATGGAAAGCTCGCCCGATCCCACTGGGAGCTATAAGCTTACTTCCCTTCTCGTCATGTTATGTCTCCTTTAGGGCCCTGCCTCCCCCCACCCCTCTAGACCTGCCGATAAGGCAGGGCCATTTATTCCTGTCACGCCGCATAAAAGCAGCCATCAATAAAGAGCCCACTACCGGAGTCCTGACCCCTCTATTACAGAGGGGAGACGGAGACTGATGAACAATGGGGGCTATCTCTGCGTTTCCTCCTTCGGGCAGAAACAAAAAAAAAAAAAAAAAAAAAAAAAAAAAAAAAAAAAAAAAAAAAAAAAGGATGATTGATTTCCCCTGCTTGGCTATAATGTGTATTGGACATCAGTCAATTAAATATAGTTTACTACGGGTCGGGATATCTCGTGACGGAGAGCAGGAGGAGAATTGGATTCTGAGGTGGAGGAGACAGATTCTTCCTTGATTATTGAAAGCCATTTAGCTTTGAATAAAACTGTAGTCAAACACGGCTAAACAGCCAACATCTGCTGCTTTGTCACAGAGTCGCAGAGCCAAGAGAGATTCTCCAACACATATTCCACTGGTCTAGAACGAAGACAAATTCTTCTTCATCGTTTAAACATATCATCTGTTGCCCGATTTGGTATCGTTTTGTATGCAGCATCCAACCTTCGGGACTTATCTGTTTAAATAAAGGCCAGATAGAGACACTTCAAAACACCACTAACTGGTATGAATTTGCTTTCGGTGTACTTTTGAAGAAGACGAACATTGAAGAAGACGAGCAAGAAGGTTTTCATTCAGTGTGCGAGGCAGTGACGCGGTGAGCTGGACTCAGATGTACAGCCTTACCGCTGAGGATCTCAGTGTTGCTCCCCCAGAAGTCTGCAGCTTTGGACGGCCGGCTGTAGAACTCATCTCGGTTTGCAGCCAAAATTAGCCTGGAGAGAGAGAGAGGGAGCGAGAGAAAGAGAAAGAGAGAGAGAGAGAGAGGTTTACAAGTTGTCCCGTTAGTTTTGTTAATTCTGTGAGTCCAATGAGGTTTTAAAGAAGGTAATCGGTAGTTTCAAGAGCAGATCCATCATCAAAGACTCATTCATGATGACTGGTCTCCGGGATTTCGTGTTACAGATTTGCTGTAACAACCAGAGTCTCTCTCTGCCTTCATAAAGGCCTCCGATGTGTCCAGGAGTCTTGCGGTATACGGTTGTATTGCAAGTGGATTGAGGACGATGCAGAGGAAACAAGAGGCCAAGGGCACAGGGAGGAGGAGGAGGTTTTGATGAGGACCAAAGAAGAGCGGATCAAAAGGAAGGTGACGGATAAAGGACACGCCAATATAAAAGTTACAGACAACTTGTCTTTATAGACAGAAAGCAAAAGAGGAACAGACCGGTTTCTGTGTACTAGCTGTGTCAGCGTAGTACAGTCAGCTTGGTGCGTTTGCTTGTTATTTCCTTTTCAGTGCATTGTAAAAATCAACTAAGACAGGGGTGGGGGATGTGGACAGAATTCATGATAATGTTAAACCCACAGAACTGTATTTGTAGTTATAGTGGGGAGAACTTACCAAAGATAACACAAGTGTCAACATTTTGGGGAAATGCATATGAAATGATGGCATTTAGAATATACTGTATTTGCTAAGAACAAGCCAATGCTTTTTTCTAAACTGCACAATAAGGAGTTAAAACTACTTAAAAGATGAAAAATGTATTCATCCGACATGACGGATGTAGACATACCATCTCATCTTGCGAAGCTGCTTGCACCTGCCTTGCGTCAGTAACCGTTCCAGGTATTTTATCAGTTTTTATTGGCTCAGCAAGGCTACAGCATCAACATTTACTGCCCCTACCACGAATGAACAGCCTGAGAAGTGTCAGCCACAGCCTGCCCGTCAGTTAGACGTTGACCTGCATTATTAATCAGGAAGTCGGTGGGTAACGGGGCCATTATGTCCATTAACAACGACACGCTGCATTGTGATTTGTGTCTCATGCAACACCAGCTATCAAGTTTCAACACGCCTTCACCAGCCGCTCACTACCGGCACAAAGCAACACATCCAGCTCATTTCACCCAGTCAGCGATTCTGAAACGATTATTCTTTTGCTCAGAGAAGAAGATCACCCATCACTATTGCACCGTGCGACTTTTGCAAACACGAATCAGCATTTTAGCAGAGAATCATGGACTTACGTATTTTATGGTGCGAAAGCATGCAAAGCACCAACACATGTGCAAGCTCGGTCGATTATACTGACTGTTCATTCGTAGAATTTGAGTTGAGATCGTTGAGATTTAAACAGTGCAGAGCAGCACTCACTGGGCAAACTACACAGGCCAGAGAAAGCAAGAAAAAGCAAATGAAACGTATTGACCTGTATAATAGCTGTATGTTCTTCCTGAGCGGACGATGCTCCCCCTCCTATTAATCTTGTGCGGGAGCTTGGATCTTGTTAAGAACAAACAGATAAACCAAACCGGCCTAATAGGGGTCGACCTCTGTGCATTAAGTGATAATGATAGCCTGTTCCCATGGCACTGTGTGAGCCACCACTGCTCCAGAAAACAAAGTGAACACACTAATGATGCCACACCAGAGAGAGCATCTGCTATCAGATCCGGAGGGGGAAAAAAAAAAAAGAATCTGTGCAAGCCGCTCTGATCACAGCTAGCCAGCTGCATCATGTTGGAGGGATGGTGGGAGGCAGAGGGGCATCAAAGCTCTTCCTGAATACCCAAACTCACATTCTTTGTCTATTCAGTAAACACGGCGGTTTGTGGGCGCGGCAGCAGCTCCTTCAGGTTTGCTGTGGAACGACATATTTAAGGATATTCATGTTTCCAATGGGATCACTCCATACTATTTTTGTGAGACCTTGACCCTTCATCTTGCATTAAAGTCATGAACATTTTCCACTGGAGCAACAATTTGCTCTGGTACCTGGTATTTTGGAAAATGCGACATTTATTGTTAGTTTTTGGTGACTATGTGACTTTTCCTCTCGAGCACTAATGATATACGTATCTTAAATGATCCCCTCGATAAACGAAAACCTGGTCATCAGGATCGTCCTCTGGTGGAACGCTGGATATCCATCCAGTGGTCGTCCGGATGCATCAGTGCAAAACCACAAATTTCAACCTCGTGGTTGCGCTAGAGGAAAAGTGACGGGATCACCAAATGTCGGTAGGATTCCTCCTCTGGGGACCATGAATCTCTCTACAAAAAATGATGTCAATCCATCCAACAACTGTTGAGATGTTTAAGTCTGGACCATAGTGGTGGAATGACCAACAGACACCGATATCCTCGGAGCCACACGTGGTTAAAATGATTAAAATGATTAAAATCTTACCGACAGGCTGCCGTGATATATATAATGAGCATATTCATGTTCCCACAGGGCGCAACCTTTCCTCTTAAGCCAGCGTTTGGGTCAAAATGTCAACTTGCTTCCAGCACACATCATCATTTTAATTGGCAGATTGCCATAAGTACCATCATAGTCCGAAGGGGATAAACACTTTTTGCTGTTTGTTTAATCACTTCTAAAGGAAGTGTTAAAATCATAAGCTTTAATCATATTACTGTGTTTGATTGTGGCACTGCTTTGAATTAATAATTAATAAATGACTGTTGAAAATGACTTTTGAAATACAGAAATCTCAGCATGTGGGTTATCATTGAGTCATTCATGCTGAACATGAACACATTTAACCCCCGGAGGTATAGTCCTGTCATTTTGTTCTGTGTAATCATTTGTTCTTAATGTAACTGAAATCTTGCCTCAAACCCAATTTAGCCGAAGTATTCTGAACATTCCTTTTGATTTGCACATCGCTGCAGAAAAAGGAAAAACTCCTTCTGCGACTAGTGGTCTATAAATAGCACTGATGTAACCACATCAGGACACAGTACGTTTCACCTTTCCCCGGGTTGAGGTCTGAGTCAGTCCTCATACCACACACCTCTGCTGTGATCTCCCGAGACAGACTCCCAGAGGGAAGGACAGAGATGGACTAAGGCCAGGCAGAGGGTTCACTCTCGAGCTTAGCGAGATTATAACGTGCTGGACTTGACATTACCATATAACTCACGACGACTGCACATAGTGCACTGGTCTGTGCCGCCCGCTGAAAGAAGTTAGCAGGGTAGGGCACGAGGAGGTCTGTAGCTGCTTGTTTATAACACTTCACTGAAGCCGTATGATGCAAACTGAGCTAAATATTGGATATCTTCTGAAAAACAGCCTCACAACATCGTTTATCAAGATGGCCCCCGATTAGTGGGTAATTCAGGATTTTAAAAAGTTTACATAAACACACTGCAGTGCACAGGTTCTTATAATGGTTGATCCTAATCTTGGTGTTGCTGCTCGACACTTTGCATTCGTGAAATTGTACATAAAGACACATTTGTCTACCGCTCTAGCAGAGAGAACTCTACAGTTAGCCATCGTCTCCGTCATGGGTTTGGAGGCAGCTCCCTTGTTTGCTCATGAACTTTCTCATAAGGATATGTGAATGTTTGCAACAATGTTTGTTAAAAAAGGCCTTAAACTGCTCACCTGTAGGCACTTTTGGATGCAGGCCGGGGGTCAAACTTGAAGAAAATGATACACATGGGTGGATGGATTGTGGGATTGATGACACAATTTCACTCAATCCTCGCCTGCCTTCAAATCAGAGTCATGTCTGACCAAGAGAAAAACAACATAAACCAAAAAGTGTTTAGTGTTGGTGTATTAGGACATGGATGACTGTAGAACTGAGACAGCGGTTGTGAAACAAGTGTTGGAAAACAGGGCTGGGTGTGTTCAAGTTTTAGCAATAATTAACTGTATGTGTCCATGGAGAATATATGTGGATGAAGAAGACTGTTTATGTCCATATCTTAAGAATGCACTCATCACGTTACTTCACTATTGATCACTTCAATACTCACACAGTGCACTTAGCTGTAGGACAACAAATGGACCCTCCAGAGTGCATGCTTTGTGTCCTCCTGTGCACGTGAACAACGTGCAGGATAGCAAGTGTTAGACTTGGCATCACAAAGGTTTATTATCATGACCTTCTTTTTGACTGTAATGACAGCAAAGGCTGCAATTACACGACTCAGCCCTGTCCACGATTCACCATGTTATTAAATGATGATACAACCGAGCTAACACTGTTTAACGTTTCAGCACAACTTGTCAACCTAAGCAATAACTAGCGAACGTTGGCATTTTTGCAGTCATTTACGTAAAGATGAACAACCAAGCAAACTTTAGCTAACGTCACCTAGCTAACCTTAGTTAAGCACGTAGGACTGCGAATAATAACTTCTACGCTAATTGTTTACCTGCTGTGTAGTGTCGGCTAGTTGTGCTCGTTACACTTGCTGTTGAAAACTGAAAGGAAGTGTACACACGAACTGCCCTCGATTTGCGTCTCCAGCCGTCTCATTAGCCACTCCAGCGGGCGTGTATATTTATTTTGAGTGCGTTGGCTTGATTACCGCCCACCCCGGCACTGCCAATGCACAAAACGAGTGTGGCTCTGAATCAAGCTGTGATTGGTCAGTTTACAAGAATAAAACCAACCACAAGCTAACAGCAAACAGTAATAATTACTTTTCCGGTTAGTTAAAAAATAAAAGCATTTGTATTATAGTAGTATTGGTGTTGCTTTGGTAAAATTGTTTAAAATGTTAGGCTAGGCTTGTTGAGACCAGAGCTAAAATGGAGCCCACCGCTTTTCTTTATTGACTTTAATTAGATACAAGGATCAACCTTTCAATACATTATGCTCCAAAGAGTTTCCTTTGACTGAAATGTACACTGACTTCAGTCCCAAGGCTGAAGAACAAGTGCAGAATGACTATAGCACCTTCAATAAGGGCCAGACACAGTAAAGAAACACCCCAAAACCACTAAATGAACATGATTACTCCAATGCTTAACATATGGCATACTACTCAGAAGGTCGTCCACTATCTTGAAATATAAAATCAAAATATCTGCTTTGCTGATTTATTCTTCACAGAAAAAAAACTATATTGTACTGTTTAAGTTTGACTCTAATTTGTGTGGATTTAAGAACTTTTACTTTGAAAAATATTAAATAGACGTTTTCTTTGTATTTGTGCTGACTTGACAATACCACAGTACCAGTAAACATAACAATAGGAGCACCGAATCTAGAGAAATAGATAACGGAACAGATAAAAAACAAGATCAAATTTAACTGATTTATATGAGTGTCTAACTGATATTCTGTGTTTTGTGGCATTTAATGAGCAAGTTAACGGAATAATGTTTTTTTCCATAAAGTATAGCATTGACTACTTACCAAATGAGAACATTTTAAGTAATAACAAGAATACATTAATAATTCTGCAGATAAATCATCAAAAAGTCAAATCACAAATTTCCTCCAGTGCTCTGCGAGTGGTGATGGGGCGGAGACACGTTGTGACCGACAGTATCCAGAGGGATGAGAGGGATAGAGGCTGCCCTGCCTTTCCATACAACACACCGTCGCAGTTACTAATGAGTGATAACGATACTCGCTTCGAATAACGTTACAAGTAACTTTTAAATCAGTTAGGATAGGCTTCTTCGTTTTTGCATGTGGCGAGCAGCAACCTGACAACTACAGTTTGAGATATCGAGGGTTTTAACGGGCTACTATCACCCTGCAGCAGACACATTGCATGCTCAACAGCGTTATTTAGCCGAGACTCGGACTACTGCACATCACACTGGAGAAAGAGTCTCCTCGCCTTCAACAATAAAGATGAACAGAAGAAACTGAGGTAGGCTATAATATAATAAATAATATCAAAAGGCTTCAGCTCTTTGCTTTCTCCATGTGGTGAATGGTTATCGTGCAACGCCAAGTTTTAGCCTGTGCCGTTGCAACTCAGACAGTAATATAATAACAATAATGTAATTACAATGTCAATCGAAATTTGAAAAATAAACCGTCTGCTTCCTTTTCGGGTGAGTGAGCAGGTGCTCGGATGAGGCATATTGATTAGGATGCACGGACCCGGTGTGTTAGAAAAAGATTTACCACGCTTTTGTTTAATAGTCGGTGTTTTTAATGTGTTACGTTGGTGGGAACTAAATTACTAGCATATTATATCAAATGCGTTGATTTAAAAAGTAAAACATATGCGGTGTATATGTTGTGTTGTTGAAAGCTCTTATCGCTAATGAATGCAGTCAAAGGCAGCGAGCGCGAGCTTCAACGAGCTGTCAATCATCTCATCCTTTTCTCGTCCATTGTTTAGTCCCTCCTGTTTGTGAGTGAGTTACCATGGAGAGTCTTCCGGTTCTCTCCTCTAATTGCCTTATTTGGAGAAAGGGAGGCAGTCAGTGGCTGGGCTGATGGTGTTGTTCTGTTAATGCTTCCGTATTCATGTCCCATGTGAGTGAATGACGGAACGCCTCAAAGCAACGACCTGAGCTCAGACCGTTACAGAACCTCAAATGGAAGTTCTCAGTGGACTTTGATTGATTTTATGCAATAATTGCCATTAACTGCGCATGTGCAATTAATTTGCATTGATCTGCATCCTGCTGTAAGGAGCTTCTGTTAAATCAGGTTTAGTGTTGCAATGTTATTGTGGCAAATCTACTTAAGGTGGAGAAGTGGCAGTAGCCAAGCAATAATTAGTAATATATATAATATATTTTTTGAAGAGACCTGGTGTGGTTTGCAGATTTAAGAAACTTAATGAGCATGTTGGTCCATATATTAGTACTCTGGTAATATAGCAGGTTTGCACCCAGTTGCTATGAAGCGCTGTGTATTGAAGATGGTGGACTTAATTGACATATTTACAGTGGTGCGTCACCAATCTTTGTGTTAGTCAGTGGTATAGCATGTCTGTGGACGGTGTTGTGTGGGGTGTATGGAACAAAAAGCTAAGCAAAAGCAGAAAAGGGGTTGCAGGTGCAGGGAGGAGACAGATTTACACTGATCACTGGGGGCTTGTGAGCACTGAGGCCAGATGTTCCAGATTTCAACGGCCTACTCACCTTCACGATACATATGTAAACCTGTAATTCACAAAGGGGAAAACATTGCTGCAAAGACCTATTTTGGATCAGTTGTGTCTTAAAGGTTTCTGTTGTAAGGTGTTGCACTGATCACATGTGGACCTGAGAATTTAGGCCATTTAGGCTCTTCAGACAAAATGAGGAATGTCAGCATGGATCAGTATATTCTAAATTCAGTCTTGGTTATGGCATGGCACCCGACATTACAGCAAGATATGTTGCAGGATCTTCCCCTCCTGAAAGACTTCATCCTTAGCATTCTGTAGGTATAAAGGTGTGAATGAGTTCATAACAGTAATATTCAAGGCCTCCCCAGAAGCTTCTTTATAAGCACATCCCCGTGCTCACAGAATACATTTTAGGCTCATTGGCAGCCAGGAAGCTTATTATGGTAACACAACATATTTGCAACTCAAACACAGAGCAGTCTCTGGACAGGGCGAGAATTTCCATACCACCTGTTACTGGGCTGAAAACAGAAGAATGCTGCGTAACCGGGGGGAAACTCAAAGACTTTCCATGAATGCTAATGTTAAAAAAAATCCTATTTCATCTGTTTGCGGCTTTAGTTATCAGACGCTTTCTTGTATGCTCACAAAACATAACAACATTGTCTTGTCTCGTATTATATTTTCTGTTTTTCCTGAGGCAATAAAGCAGAGTTGCTAAAAATTCACTACCATAATCACCAGGTAACAAGCCAATCAATTACCAACCAATAGCTGTATGTTGTTGTTGTTGGTGAATGTTAAAGATGTATCTTTTATTACCCAGCATATCTCTTTGAAATAGATTTAGTATTTTGTCCGTGGGACTAATTCTTGTATCATCACTTGAAGATGTTAAAGGTTGAACTGTAATTTTTCTAATGGACTTGACAAGACCTAAGGTCAGCTTTAATCTCACGAGTAGTTCACGCTCCGATGCACTCATTTATTAGGAAGTATGATGCCTGAAGAAGATTTCTTATTCTTAACTGTCAGCCCTGCAGCGTGTTGACAATTTGGATACAGATGTAGAAGCTGGTTACTGTCAGATCCGGCCTTTATCTCAAGTCTGTAGGAACTGACTTGCCTTGACACAATTTGAATATGATTCCGTAGTCTTTTGCTCCATCTATCGCTCCATTTTATCTATTGTCATATTGTTCAGGACTGTGGGGGGTGGGAGCCTACATGCATTGGGCGATAGGGGGTACACATCAAGTGGAATCACAGATCAGTGATTATGTTTTAGTGCTCCTGCAGAAAATAAACTAATAGTCAAAGAGCAAGCTTATGGCTGAAATGCTACTAAACCAGCTATTTTACCATACCTCTTTCATAAATGTGTCAGGCAGAAATGGATTATATGTGATACTAGTCCTTACAATGTGTGTGTATGTGAACCAAGCTGGCAAGAAAAATCTCTCAGCAAGAAGGTTGTTTTATTTGTAGAGGAGGATAACTTTCTTGGATTTTTCACAGTCCAGTGTTTCTGAAAGCTGATGAAAATATTCATGTGTCAAAACAACCAGTAACCAATGTTTGGTTTTGGTATTCTTTACATCCGAAGTAGAAAAAGAAGTCTCCGTGCAATAATTGGTTTTGCAACACAGTGTAATAACAGTTGCAATGCATTGCAATAGACTGTTGGTATATTAAGCCCAAAACATCCAGGGATTGAGTATTCACAAACATCAGTGTTCACAACAGAAATTCAGGATGAATGTTGTATTTATTACGTCCTTTAAATTAAAAATAATCCAGTAAAATATTTTAATGAAGAAAACAAGAAAAAAAAAAGTAAAAATGATATCCATCACCTCACAGATTATTGAGTTTGTATTTATTAGATTGTCTGAACAACAAGGCCAGGTGCTGATTTACCATGCCAGGAAGGTAAATACGTCTAACAGTGAAACGTCCTCCCGACTCCTTTGGCTGTTTTGTGTTTATTTTTATTTCACCCCAGCATTTGTCACTTGACCTAGCAAGCTATTTTAACCACAGCATGCACCCGGGGAATGTTCTCCCGCCTTCAGTTGTCAAGAGCCTTATTAACTGCACTACATTTTGTCTTTTTTTATTTATTTTTTAATTGGATGGAATATTTTGCTCCATAAATCAATGGTTTTAAAGCCTTAATTATATGGCCCTATATTCTTGCAGTATGCAAATTGTACAAGAACTGGGATTAAGGGACTTCAAGTGAAAAAACAACTTAAACCAAAAAGTTTGTATTCGGAGACTTACATTATATTTACATAATGTAAGTAAAGCACACCAAATATTATGTTTCAT